GGAATGAATTTAATTTAAATGGAAATATTAAAAAGAAATAAATTTAATTTAAATGAAAAAATTAAGAGATGAATTTAATTTAAATGAAAAAGTTAGGAGACGAATTTAATTTGAATGGAAATATTAAGAAGAAACAAATTTAATTACAATGAAAAAAATTAAGAGATGAATTTAATTAAAATGGAAATATTAAAAAGAAATGAATTTAATTTAAATGAAAAAAAAAAGTGAAGAAACGAACGTCGATTTGATGGCAAGCGATTTCTTACAAAATTTTTCATTAACATTAATTGGTTCAGGTGATTTATTCCATTTCATTGGTAATAAATCTACTTTAGCAAATATAATATCAACGTTTTCCATTGGACAATCATTTGATGGCGCTGTCAATAAAATATTATTTGCAAAAGCTTTATTCATTGGATAATATGCTGGAATAGTTAGTCTTGCGCATCCTGCAAATTAATTATTTCTTTATTTTTATCATTTACCTGTAAACCGGACAATTTAATTATTTCTTTATTTTCATCATTTACCTGTAAATCGAAAATGGTAAATGAAAATTTATCATCCTGTAACTTTCAAAAATTTAAAATGTTCAATTATCTATCTACAATTGAGAACTTTTTTTTTAATTTAAATTTTGATTATTTCTTGAAATTCAAAATTTATAAAAAAATTTTGTTTTAATTTAAACTACAATACTATTTTAACATATATTTCAATGGTAGTTTAAAAGAAAAAAAAAAAAAAACAAACGATCAACAATCATTGGAGTTGGCATAAAACATCCAAAATCTTTTTTTGCCACTCCTTGTATCGAAACATTTCGAATCGAAACAACAACCATCAATCGAGCTATTTCATTATTCCATGCCCTTTGACCTATCATTTTTGTAGTATTAGTATTACTCAATTGATCACGAATCCATACTGATATCGTTTTTTCCACATATGCTGTGAATTGCCATAATGAACCTGCCTATAAAAATAAAATTCATATTTCATTTAATTACACTTATTTACAACTATTCTCGAATTAGCAAAATTAAATTTCATTAAACTTTAAAACAGCAATCTTCTTAAATGCAAAAATGCATTGATAATAATAAAAAAGAAAAAAATAATACTTAAAATATTTTATTTACAAAATGGAACTATTATTTTATTTCTAATTTTTGGAGAATTTAAAACGTTTAAATATCATATTAAATTAGTATTATTTATCAATTTTTTCGATTATATTAAATAATTCATTTTATTTTATTAACAAAAATTTTTTTTTTACTAAACAAACTTTCATATTTTGTTTTATGGTTTTTAATTTATTATTTTGCTTTTCTATTATTGAAATATGATGAGTTTCAGATATTGTTTCATTTGTTCTTTCAAGTGGTAACAAATATATTGTAACAGTGCTACTTCCAGGTAATGAAAATCCATAATAATCACCACCCATTCCCACTGGATAAACTAAAATGCAACACGTAAAAAAACACGGAAACGTGTAAAAACACGTAATATCATAAATCAAATGGAAAAAAAAAGAACACAATCAAATTTTTTCAAAATTATTTGATTAAAATTTTTACGAAAAAAAAATTATTCAACGTTTAGGGCTACATAAGGAAAATCCATAACATCAAATAAATTTAGAAATATGAAAAAATAAACAAACAAACAAAAAAAAAAAAATAAACAACCACCTGTCAGAAGGTCAACAACAGATTCGAGATCAAATATATGACAATTAATTGATATTTTATCTGATGAAATGACATATATTCGATTATCTTTCAACATATGTAATCCTTCTTGAATAATGTCATCCATTGCTAAGTTATGAAAATCGTACTGCAATATAATCTTTTTCTTTTTTTCTTTTCTCTCCCTCTCTCTCTCTCTATTTCTCCATCAAAGTTTCATACAAATTTTTATGTAATATATAATTTATAAAGATATCAAACTTTATTTTCTTTTCTTTTTTCAAAGAAAGAAAAATAATAATAATAATAATTTGTTCAATTAAAAATAATTTATTCAATAAAAAATAATTTATAAAAAAAAAAAAAAAAAAGAAAGAATAAATCAAAGTAACATACTTTATAAAAATTTTTAAAATGAAATTTATCCTTCTTCCTTGCAATAATTTCCGTATTATTACTTTTACTGTTGTATTCAATATTTACCGTAATATTTGCTTCTTTATTCATTCCAACAAGATAACAATAAGTTCGAAATTTATTAATATTATTTGGTGGTAATATGAAAATAAATTTGGTACCCCATGAATCTGCTTCATATAATTCTTTGAAATCTTCATTACATCGTACTGAAAAATTATCATTTAATTATAATTTATAATTTAATTATAGAAATTTAGAAATGAAAAATTTTCACAATGACTTAGTTTAAGTTTAATTTGTTTCATTTCATATTTCATCTCTGAACTTATCGTTATCATCATTATCATAATCATGATTGATAATCATGATTATCATCATCATTACATGTGTTGTTTATTTTTTTCTAATAGTTAATTTATCCTTCCAATTGTTTAGCAACAACAACAACAACAAAAAAAAAAAACATTGTATTGTTTTTTTTTCGAGAAGATAATAAAAATTTGAATGAATCAAGTAAAATTGAATAAAATATTGATCAGAAAATAAACTTTTAAAGCAGATCAATTTGAAAATCTAAATGTTTTGAAAGATTAATATGATATAAACAATAAAGTAATACAAATAATTTCAAAATGCAACTTCTTCACTATGTAAAGAAATATCCGAAATACCGGATCAGGTAATGATTTAAATATTTTCTACTTTTCATCTCATTTTTTTACTTCATATTGCTACTAGAAATAATTTGAATAGCTATAAAACAATCGTAAACATTTAAACATAGTAAGGAGTCATTTCGATTAATTAAATTATTATTTTTTTGTTTGAAAATTCAAATTTTAAGATTTTTTTTTTATCAATTCTCAATCTAATCTATTAATTAATTTGCAAAGTTTTTAAGATTAAACATACCATAGAATGGATTAGAAATAAATATAAATAAAATTAGTTCAAATATGAAATACTGCCAGCCAACAAATGAAATCATTCGTTTTCAAATAAAATCACTTATTGTTTGTTAATGAATGCTATAATAAAAGTTGATGGAAAAAAAAAAGAAATAATTCAATGATAATTATTTGTTTGTTTTGATACTTTTATACAGTTTTTCAAAAATTTGCATAGAATTCTCTTTTTTTTTATTCCATTTTTTATTTTTGATTAAAATGTTAACTATGATAAGAAATAATCAATCGGTCGTTTAATCATTTAATATGGACTTCGCAAATTGAGAATTAAATTTATCTTATTTTCAAATAATTTTACACAGCAAATAATTTTTTGTTGCGTAAATTCAGTAATATATTTAATGTAACATCTGATTAATAATTTAATTTCATTAATGTAATATCAGATTAATAATTTAATTTCATTAATGTAATATCTGATTAATAATTTAATTTCATTAATGTAATATCTGATTAATAATTTAATTTCATTAATGTAATATCTGATTAATAATTTAATTTCATTAATGTAATATCTGATTAATATTTTAATTTCATTTAATCTTACATTTAAATATTCTATTTTGTTATATGAATTTAGTTTATGAATTTAGCTTATTTTGTCATAAGAATCTTCTTCCTTTTTTTCTTTTCATTCTAATTAAAATTATTTTAGTCTGTTATTTCACTATGAATAATTTTTTTTTTGAAACCGATTGTCTATTTAACTAACAAAGAATTTTGAATTTCGCACAAAAAAATTGATTGGAACATTGTTCATAATGAAATATTAGATTCTTTCATTATTATTATAAATAAATATTAGATTCTTTCATTATTTTTATAAATAAATATTAGATTCTTTCATTATTTTTATAAATAAATATTAGATTCTTTCATTATTTTTATAAATAAATATTAGATTCTTTCATTATTATTGTAAATAAATATTAGATTCTTTCATTATTTTTATAAATAAATATTAGATTCTTTCATTATTTTTATAAATAAATATTAGATTCTTTCATTATTTTTATAAATAAATATTAGATTCTTTCATTATTTTTATAAATAAATATTAGATTCTTTCATTATTTTTATAAATAAATATTAGATTCTTTCATTATTTTTATAAATAAATATTAGATTCTTTCATTATTTTTATAAATAAAGTTATTTGAAAATTGTCGAAGTATTGATTAACAAACATTTCAATTTTTCAACATTTATTATTTTTTTTAGTTATTCATTGGAAAGTAAAACATTGAAAAAAATTATGCAAATATGCTTTTTTGTAAAAATTTACGATTTCTTACAAAATTTTCTTAAAAAATATAAGTGTGCCCATATTAGCAAACCGATTTATTATCAAATTTGTTATCAGCAAAATACAATGTAATTTAAATTAACTTAGGCAAATTAATAATACACTGATACTATCATTAAAATATGTTTTCAAGAAGACATAGAAGCGAAGCAAATTGGTATTAAAAGTTTTTGTAGTTTGTTTGGAAAATATTTTTCAAACTTTTTGTGACATAAAAAAATGATAAAATAATAATAATAAAATAATAATAAATGAAAAAGAAATGATAGACAAGAAAACTAATAATTATAATTGTTTTTAAAATTACTATTATATTTGAATTTTTATGGAAAAGGAAAAGAACAAAATAATATTGGGATGCAACTATTTTCATATCAAATATTGATGGAAGTTTTTGTTTTTAATTCGATGAAAAATTTACGTGGAATATAATTTTCAAAAGTTGTTTTTGATGTTAATTTTCTGATGGCGAAGAAAGCAGCAAATTGCTAAAAGGTTTTTTTTTTTGAAATTTAATTTATAAAACATTAATTTTTTTTTCAGTTAGATGTTTTCTTTTTCTTTGTTTATCAAATTGATTCCTTTGTGTGAAATTTTGCTATGGATAAACAAATCCTTATCGTTGGATTAACTTGTATTGATATCATCAATTATGCCGAAAGCTTTCCAATTGAGGACAGTGATTCTCGAGTATTAGAACAGGTAATTTAGAATGAAAAGGTATATACATTTTTTTTTTTGTTTGTCATAATTTGAGTTTGTTACGATGATAACATTTAGAGTATTGATTCATCTCGGCAAAAAAAACCACTCATTTTAATGTTTTCTAAACATTGATAAACAATTTGATACAATCGTTTACTCTTCTTCATGAATTTAAGATTTTTTTCTTTTTTATCATTATATAGTAAGCTATTAGAAAAAAGAGAATTAATTCAATTCATCTAACAAATTTCTCATTTGCTAGCCTAGCTAGCTTTTTTTAAATATCATACAATATAAGTACTTCATGTTCTAAGCTATTCTTAAACTTTTATTTTTCTAATCCTAGAATAAAATTCATATAAATTATTTGCATAATTTAAATTACTTACTACAACTTATTTCTATTCTACTGAAATTAATTACACTAAAGAAAATGAGCAAATCTAATTTGTTGTAGATTTGGTCAGCTGGAGGCAATGCTACAAATAATGTCATCGTTTTAAATCAGCTCAATTCTCATTCGATACTATTTTCAGCAATTCCAATCAATTGCTCTATTATTACTTCGTAAGCATATTAGTTATTAAAGTGTTTTGTTAATTTGTCCAATTATTTTGACTAATTTTGGAAGATTTTAGATTATTAACCAAAGTTGGTATTTCATCGAAACATTGTGTCCATCGTTTGAATGCTGATTTGCCGACATCAACAGTTATTGTTAATGAAAGGACCGGCTCCAGAACAATTCTACATTACAGGTATTCTCATGGTATATATATATACCAATAAAAAAGGGAAGTAACAATTTTGAGATTGATCCATTTAAATTCATGTTTTTTTTTTTTTTTTTTTTTAAATTTAAAATATAGTTTTCATTTAAATACTACTTATTGATAGCTAAGGCTAGCATTTTTTGCTTTTCAGACATCTAAGGCATATATGTTTCTTAATATCACTGCAGGGGACAGTTGCAAGAACCGAATTGCGACGAATTTCAACTTGCTTTTCCAGATATTAGCATTTTTCTTGGATACATTTTGAAGGTTCACAGTTTTTTTTTTTTTTTTTTTTTAAACTATTATGCAAGTATTTTTTTGTAGAAATGGTTCTTTTATCCCTTTGTAATATTCATCATACATTTCTCTTTTTTTCCAGGAAGAAATTTTGAAAATCTTATCACAATGATAAAGTATGTTCTCGTATCGAGACAAAATAATGAAAAGCCAAAATTATCGTTGGAATGTGAGAAGGTTCGAGATTTTGAAACTCTTGAAAATGCTATACCGCTTGTAGATGTTGTCTTTGTGTCGAAAGATTTTGCAAGGTATCTTTTTACTTTAACACTTTGATTTATTTGCGAAAATGTGGAACATTCAAATATTTTAACTGGGAAATGATTTTATTAAACCAGCCCAGTCATCCCTCGATTTGAAATTCAGGATTATGGAATCGGAGTAATAAGTTAAAAATTAGAATAATATGTTATGTTGTTCATTTCATTTAATTTATCTATCAGTGTTATAATTATGAGTGTGGTAGTTTCAAAGCATTGACAGAGTTGAGATAGTGCAGGATGGTACCTCATATCATTTTTAGAATATATTAAGTATGATATACTCTAAAGATATATTCTAGAACACTGAAGAGTATTCTATTTTTGCTTTCCGATGACTTAAATAGAAAATTTAGATGCTTTAAGGGAGATCTGATCTCTTAAGAATCCTAGATGAAATCAATAAATCAATATCAGTAAACAAAACCTTACTTTTCCTGATTAGAACTAATCCATCCCTACTGATCCTACTAACATTGTAAATATCCTCCAAATATAATAATAGGAAATATTCCGTCACTAAGAGATATCAGTAGTCTACCAAACGATTATAATCATTTTGGTTAAATAGCTAAGTGAGAAAAGGGAATTATTTTTTTTATTTGTAACTGTCATTCTGTTCACACTTCACCGTTACTATTGTTAAAAGTAAACTGAGTAAATACATGGAAATGAATGATCCTGGTTCGAAGTACATTATTACAATTTTTTTGGGTAAATTAACTAAGTGAGGAAAGAGAATTGTACTAAGACGATGTATACATTCAATTTAAAAAAAATTCTATACAATGCACATAAGCTTAACTATAGTTGGAAAATAAGTCTTGGATAAATTATTTCTCATTTGATGTATGAAACTGAAATAATTTTATATTTGTCTTGAAATATTCAGATAAGACAATCTTTAGTCTACAGATATTTATCTTATCCAAAATTTAATACAAAATTACTTCGATTATTTCGACATATTATAAGTATTTCGGTTTTCCGACATATACAACTGGTTGTATTTTTTGAATATAGTGACATTTATTGAAATAGCATTAATTGAAGAAAACAGCGAAGTAAACAGATAACTTTTAATACTTTTGCATTATCACAAATAATTAACCAAATGCATTTAGGAAGAAAGGTTTCCGGAATAAGGAAGAAGCTGTAATTGGTATACAACAAAAATACGGTGCATCACATGCTATCGTAATTTGCCCCTGGGCAGAACAGGTTTCAATTTATGAAAAATTTGTTTCTTTTGTTATTGTTGCTTTACTTGCGAATTATAAACAATTTTCATAGCTATTGTGTAAACACTTTAAGTAATTTGTCAATTAATGTCATTTCTTTGAGTTTTTTTTAAAATTTTCAAATATGTGTGATTATTTTAGGATATAAAGTGCTTGTTATTATCAAATTCATTAATAATTTTGTTTTCATAAGTCAACACTACTAGTTTACTTCTACTGGTAGGTTACTTCAGGGTGCAGCTGCTCGACATACTACGAATGGAGAGCTTATATCAGTTGATGCTTATATGGAAGCTGGACCAGCTATTGATACCCTTGGAGCTGGGGACTGTTTTATCGCATGTTGTATACATTTCCTCAATGAGGGTAATAGTTTAAGGGATGTATTAGTAAAAGCTTGCCAAATTACGGGCAAAAAAGTAGCCAAACGAGGATTGCTTGGATTGGATGTAAGCTAAAAAGAGATTTAAAGAAATATAAAATTTTAATATGAACATAATTTGAGATAAAACAATAGATAATTTCAGTAATGAGTGAAGTAGTAAGCGGCGGTAAGGTAACTCTCTTTATTCACCTACTGAAATTTCCGGAATTAGTTGTCGTCGCTCATTGAGTCTTTCTGGAATCGTTTTCATACTGTTATAAGCATAAACAGTTCAGGTATTATAAATCTTATCTATTTTACTACATATATATGTATGTATAATTTTATTTGATTTTGTCTCATTGTTCCAAATTTATTTCATTCAGTTATATATTTTCCCAAAATCATTATGAATTTTATTTCCATTTGGATTAGAATTATTCGAAATGATATCCTGGTCTTGCTTTGCGACATAATACCAATTGTGGTTGCACCTTTGGACCAACTAGGATATTTTCTTTGCCTGAGAAAGCTGCACTTGCTCTTTCGTTACGAATATCAACCTGTAATTAATTGATAATTTGAAATAACTAATTTATAAATTATCAATGTTAGATGCATTTTTTATGTATGATAATAGATGAAAGATGAGATATGCATATTTCTTGCTTCTACCATTTATCATCTAAGCATTAGTTCAAAGCATATATTAAAATTAGTAAAATTCGACAGGTCTAATTATTAATTATTCAATGAAAAAAAAAGCTTTAAATTGTAACATAGAAAAATTTTAAACGATAGTAACTAGATAACTTAATCTGTATGATTCATTTTCTTCCTTAACTTATTTAATTGCTTTAAATCCGTCTCTTCTACCGTCCTACTTTTTTTTTTTTTTTTTCTATTTCTGGGATCTAGGTCATTTTATTATTTATGAAGAAACATATTTTTGACGATGATTTTTTTTGCAACTCAAATTGATAGATCTCACACTGTGGATCTCCTCTTTTCATTCTTTATCTTTACAAATATCAATCAGTTAGGATATATTTTAATTCTGATCAATCCGATAAGCTTTTCATCATCTCTTAGTTAATGCTGTGCCTAATCAATTTCGATTGAATTTAAATTTGATCATACTTTTAAATTTGAATAAAATTTAAATTTCACCTTTCCAAGGATTTGTTTTCCTTCCCATGTGATGACGCAAGGTGAAATGATCCCTTTATAATCGACATAAACTGGTAGCCATTCTTTTTCACCGAATGTACCGCATACCGAGAATGGTTGCCAAGAATAGTCATAGCCACGCACGTGATGTCCAAGCTCAACTAATACTTGCAAGGATCCAACTTTATCACGATATTCATGTCCATTCCAGCCAAATGCTGCTGCAACCTGTAATTTAGTTTTAATTTTTGATTAATTTACAAATTATTAGGTAGGTGAGGGAAGACATTTAGATTTTAAATCTCATTTCACATTTGAAATCAAAAAATGAAAAATTGATCAAAATAGTTTGAAATTAATAATTCATCATCTCATACTTATATGGCAATTTAATCTAAGACAAGCTTAGTTTCAATTTCAGTGTTTTCTAATAGATTTTGATGATTTCTTTATAATTTCCAAGCTTGCCTTTTTTTTCTAAAAAAAAAGAAAACAAACTTTTCCATTGCTATCTTTCCATATTCTACCCATAATTGGTTCACCTTGTTGGTACCATAGTGCTACATACTGATTTGGATCTTCTTTTGGTACCGTATCTAATGTTTTTCCAAGTGCTTGCACCAATTTTCGTTTTGGCCATGGATCACCCATACGTATATCCATCCATTCATCACGCATAATTCTTGGTGGCGGTGGTCCAGGTGGTGGTGGTGGTGGTGGTTCTTCTGGTTTTGGTGGTGGCGGTGGTGGTATATAACATTTCTTGCATTCACAACCAGGTGGTCCACCTTTGATGTTACGTACAATAATATACATATCATCAAGTACAGTTCCTTGTAATATTTCCGTCTTACCATCATGCGAAAAATGTGCCTATCAATTGAAATTTTATTTTTGAAATCAAAAAAAAGAAAAATTCTTATAAATAAAATTTGAATGTTAAAATTTAAACATCCGCAATTAATTATCTTATTTTGCACTCACTTAGAAACAATTAACTACTTTTATTATCCATTCTATGCTACTTTGATACATAATAAGAAATTATTACTGCTTACTTTATCTGACATATATTATTATTTGATAAGCAAAATTAGGATAACAACTTAAGCAGATAATATAACTTATCAATTATCATTAAATGATAGTGATGAGAAAAAAAAAAACTTTATATTTTATGAATTTTGAAATGATGTAATTTGTTGTAAAATGATGAAAGATTTGCAAGGAAATATTTGTAATTTGTTAACTAAAAAGATAAGTATTTAATTTGACTCAATCCATTCGGTTCCGGATTAACCAACCATTTCGGTTGCATCTAAATAACCCATAAGTGGACCATCTTTACGATTTTTCCAGAAGATTGGCAATGAATCGCCACATTTCAACTTTTGTCGCTCTTCGGTTTTCTCGAAACGATCTTTGTATTTAATCCATTCGTACCAAAATCCAAGTGAATTGTGATCACCTTTGTATTGTAATATCTAAAATTTTTTATTTGTCAATCCTGTAATGGCTAGTTTTTTTATTTCATTAAATTTTAATTTTGATAAAATTTTCATTAAATATTTGATATAGTACTAATTAAATTATTTAAAAGAATATTAAAAAGATCATTGAAAGGTTATTTATTTTAGTAGTAAAATACAAAATGAGTTGCATTTGTTGTAAAATGAAATGAAAATTTCTAAAAATTTGATCAATTTAAAGGATGATTTAAATGAAAAACATTTCTTGTTGATTAAAAAGTCAGAAAAAAAAAATTGAGGAAAAGAATTACAATTAGAAATTTTAATAATTTTCCAAATTCCAGACAAATTATAATATAGAAAATATTGAAATAACAAGGAAGATAGAAGTTTAACAAAAAATTCAAATTTTTCTCTTAGCTAATTTATTTAATTAAAATAGGTAAAAAAAAAAAAAAAAAACGGTTGAATTTTATTACTTATCGCTATTGCATATATAAAACAATAAAAAAATTTTATAAATTAATTTCTAGCATATATTTACTATGAAAATGCATTTTTTTTATTCCATTAATTTATGGCAATTCAAATTTTGAATTTGAATTTAA